TGATTCTATTATTTCACAAAAAGGCAGTTTGTATCATATGCTACTATAATGCTTTGGAATGCTACAATACAGAAGTATTATGCAAATATGCCAGAGTTATAACATACTTTTGAAAAATAACACCTTTGAAACGAGTTACTACAGTCCATATTAACAGATTTCAAATTGGAAAAATTAAAAACCCACTCCTGATGTTGGTATTTGTATTATTCAAACCCTTAATGAGCGTAAATATGAGTGGCTATCACTGCATACAGTTTAGAAACCTCAGAGAACAGCCATGCTTTCTTTTGTTTTAAATTAAAGCAGTATGTCTAGGATAATGTCTTGAGGACCGATGCTGAAATCTTAGTGATACCAGAAAAAGGAAATGTGAAGCTGAATCCAGTGGCAAATACATTCCATTTCAGTGGATTTACTCAAACTAGGATTAACACTGCATACCACCCTGATCCTGCACATCCTGCAAGATGGAACCCAAGGTAATTTTAACCTCTGTAAGATTCTTCTATGTAAAACGTATCCATATCCACCATAAACCGAAATAAAACAAAGCAGGACAACCCTAAGTTGGAACATGTAGGAGTTTTTAAAAGTTCAGGTTGTAACACTTCATCCAATCAACCAAGAGTAAGTTCCACTGAACTCAATGGGATGGCCTTCTTAATAGGCATGTACAGGATTACACTGTAACAGTAGTTAATATTCTAGGAAGTGAAGAATTTTAAAACTACCAAAACCAGTATGATTTAATGTTAGACACAGGAATAGATTTAAGCCATATCCTATGGGGGGATTATTCTCCTGCGCAGATATATCTGCCATGAACTAGCTTACTGCCATGACAAAAAACGTATTTAAGAGAGTGTTACTAGGCAGCATTGATGAGGCTGCTGGATACTTGGATTCCCAGATCTGGACGAGAGACAGAAGGCCAACCCTAGAGCTGGAGATCAGCGCTCTGCTTCTCCTCCCAGTGGTATGGAAAGAACCATGCCTGCTGCTTTTTCAAGGTCAGAAAATTAACCTCAAAAGAGGATAAAGGGGAGCAAAGAGACTGGAGCTGCTACAATACAAAGCTTCATCATGTTAATTTAAACATATTTGCCATGAGTAGCTAAACATGCCTACTGCACACCCAAATTGTAATGTCATGCAATCCAGTACAATAGAGTCCAATCAAGGATTGGATATACATATACTAGAAAGAAAAGGCATAGTTAATACATGTCTTAGCAAGGGATATATATATATATATATATATATATATATATATATATATAATCTTATTTATAGCTGACCACAGAGTTTTGCTTAAGCAAGTTACAACAATATGATCTGTAAGGAACTGTAAGTAAGAGATGCCAACAAAAGGTAAGAAACCATTAATTTTGGTCAAACCTCCTACAGCGCCCTGCAGAAAAAAGGAATTCAATGCAATCAAGAGTGATTGGTACATATGAGCACAGACATGCTTGTCCCTTTAAAGAAAGGAAAGTTGAGGACACTGTCTAGTAGACTATAAAATATGGCACTTTCAATAAACACTTTAAAGCTTCTTGAAGAAATCAGGAGATCATGTGGTTAATTTTAAATACAAGCAAAGCCACTGCTGTAACAAGCCTGTTTTAGCCATTAGCAGGAAAGAAAAAAAAGGATATCCAAAGCAGCAGAGTTATTACAATTAAAATATAGCACATCTTTTCTTACTGCCATTAACAATTCAGATTTGTTAAACCTCACATTTATGAAAAGACAAAGTTTATTCATCTTAACTGCTGTATTTCACTGCATCCTCCCCAAAGCTTATTATGTTGTTTCTCTTTATAATAATCACAAAGATAAAGTGAAAGGTCTTTTCCACAAATGGCGAAGTTGTCTTAACCCAAGCTTACAAAACCTGCAGTGACCTACTAGGCCAAATATGGCCTACTAGCCAAATACGGGGTGCCCCACTTGATGCTCAGAAACCCTGCTTCTCTGGGGATTCAAAAACGAAGGGCTGTCAAACTTTTGACAAGCTATAGCAAAGGTGGGTCACAGGTTGTGCAAGCTCATCTTAATGTGCTTCCACACTGCAGTTCCGGACTTTGATACACGTGTACAACTCTGGTCACAACCACATTCTGCATTTTATGCATTCATCTAGTCACTGAGTTGACTTCCAGGATCTCCCTCTATTGAACCAATCCAAAGTCATGTTTGTACGTTAAACAAGTGCAGTTAATACTCTAATGCAGAAACACACTGAAGGGCAAGGGAAAGTCTTTGCCTGGAAAAGATATGTACATTTTTTAACTTTAACTTCTCGTGACAGTGTAACCATTAAAATGATCAACATATTTAATAATTAGCATGCCAAGTTAGATTTCAACATGATAATCATTAGGAATTATGAATAAGGGCCACTTGAAATTCAAAAAAGTCATCAATCCTTAATGAAGTTAATCAATTTACTTAAAAGTAAACCCCACTGGCTGCACGGGAATTTACTTCCAAGTAACTGAAATGTAAGACTGATGTGAAAGATGCACTTGTTAGTGTATATATCCTAAAGCTGCTTTGGATGTTCAGAAGAAGTAGCTAGGCAGGAAGTGTGAATGACCGGTGCTTTCACCTCCCATGCTTCTGGTTTCACTTGAAGTAGGAGAGAGGCATGTTCTTCCAAGGCAGGGATGGAATGCTAATTTTTCAGCACCTCTCCTTCCCCACCTCTAGACAGTCTCAAAGCATGGGAAGCAAAACAAAAGTCACTTGCATTTTCTTAAGCACAGATAATTTTGAATGTCAAAAGCAACTTTCTACTGTCTTGATGAAGGAAAAAGACCAATCTTTTGAGGGACACCTACTTCAACATATCCCTTTGACAATTCCTCCCCCCACCCGCCCCACACACGCACACACCTCCAATACGCCTTTGAATTATTTGTTAGAGGACATTCACACTGAGATTCCAAACTGCAACCCAGCTAATCTACAGTAGTCCAAGTACATTTAGTAGAACTGCCTTAGCATAGGTGGGATCAGGATTGCAGCCTGCGTATCATTACTGGATAATCAATTAAATGGGTACCTTTCCCTCTGTCAAGTGGCTGATTATAAGCCTAAAGAAAATGTAGACTGTTACTGTATTCAGGGGACAAGGTAGAAGTATTTCATGAAAAAATGCACTAATTTTTCTTCACTAAAACAGCTTGTGCTCCTACTACCCCAAAAAATAAAAGATGGAAGCGGCCTTCACAAATAATAGCGAATAATGCCCAGGAACCTTATATAGGCAGTTATTCTAACTGTTTACACTTATTTACAATGGTGCTTTATAAAACAAAAAGGAACAAACGGAAAAATGGTAGCACTTCCTAAAAGAATTTGCATTTTTTTTCTTTTTTTTCTTTTTTTAAAACTCCCTTGTCATAAAAGCCAACTTACATTAAAATATACGTACTACAAGACAACACAACTAACAAAATATATAATAAAACTCATACAATTAGAAAATTCTGAGGTATTTCTGGTTTGAGGTGGTCTGTGGTCATGAAGTTTTTTCAAAACATTTTTTTCTTTTTTAGTTTAAACCTCGGAAGCCACGTAATGTGTGTGTGTTCTAATTTTTCTTAAAAAAATCATTGCATGTTTTGCAAGTTAAAAAAATATTTAAATGTTGAATCAGCAGCATTAGGAACATTCACTGACTAGAGCGAGTTTATGGCATAATAGAATTAACTGTATTCAAACTATGCACCACTGTTAAGACGAAAGAGTTGGGTGACAGAGTTCAGAGAAAGAAGAATTAAGAAAAACAACCGGAAGGGGATGCCAAACTATGCACCCTCACCAGTGAAAACAGTGGAACTTACTTCTGAGTATCACACAATCAAGTGCACACATCTACACTACAGGTACCTATTTCAAATGGATTTACGTGCCATGGCTTTCCCAAAATAACTCTAGTGAAAGTTCTGTGAAGGGATTGATACTTTTTAAGATGTGGAAACCACTATCTCCTCTATAATTCCTGACATTCCATGGTGTAAACCTGATTTACATTTGTCATGGAGATATGCCTTTCCTTGGATGTGTGGATGTATCAAGACCTATGGATGAAATGCAGAACCTCTAGATTTCACCAGTGATGAATCCTGATCTCATTTACTTGGAAGTAAGTCCTGTTGATTTCAATGGGACTAATATTGAAAGCATGCTTTAGATCACAGTCCAAATTACCTTCTGTGTTGCATGATAACAGAAGCATTCTTTTTAACTTAGGTGCTTGCTTTCTTGTACATTTTTGGAAAATATAGTTTTGGAATTTTAACACTGCTCTATCAGACACTTTGTGGGAAATCTGCAGTAATTCAGTCCCAACACCTCATTCTCTGAACTTATAAATATAATATAAACTTTTTTTAACACTACTGAAGCCTGAGATATTAAAGAACCCATTTCTACCAGTGATTCTCTGTGACCCAACTTTCTCTGTACTCTGCAGCAGTTTAATACTCTGCCTCAAAACTTGCCCTTCCTCTCATTAACTGTTTAACTGAGAAGTAGCTCCATAGCAGATGTTTTCTCCAAATGCTGCAAATGTCCAACGTCTCTTTCTCCCCAGCCCTATTACTAAACTTTTCACTTTCAATTCTACCATCAAAGAGTTAACATTCTCGCCTCAGTTTCTCCCCCCTCCCCACCCTCACCCATGTTACGGCAAAACCCGTTAGACCCGTAAAAGACACATCTGCTTTTTTTAAGCTCACTGTCTAAAATAGAAAAAAAAAGAAAAAGGAAAGGAAAAGTTGGGAGAAAAGTCCGTTTTGAGGTGTGATCTTATGTAACAGTCTTAAGTTTGCAGCATGTCTTGCAGATGAGAAGGTTGTTTTCTTGATACCACTGATGCTCTGAGTAAAAAGACAGACCGGCAAAAGAGGAAACTCAGGAAACAGGATCAGAAAGGAAATAAAGTGAGTCCATTGAGGTTTTGAGGTACCTGCACCGTGTCTGCATTCATTAGTCGGCACCCGAATGCTTGCTGAGATGTCCGCTTTTTCTTTTTTTTTTTTTTCTTTTTAATACAGTAGAGCAATGTGCTGGTAAAACTGATCCAATTAAAATAATAATAATAATAACAATAATAATAATAATAACAATAATAATAACAATTAAAAAAGTCAAGATTAAAATAGCAGCTGCATTCATCTGTGTGTATGTATGTCTGTGTGTATGTGTGTGTGTTAGATTTGTGGTTTAACATCTTTCTTTTCTTTCAATCCACAGAGTCTGGAAAGACCAAAAAAGAAAAAGAAAGTGAACCAGAATTTAGATGCTTGACTCTTTGGGCAGCAAGTCCGTGTTGGTGACAGAGGTCACGATGGAAACGAGGCAGTCCGAGGTAGTTCCGTTTAACAATTTGCGTATCTGAGAAATACGTTCCTCCACACAACCTGCTGACAGGCGTGCCTCTGCATCGTGGTCCCAGCATTCTTCAATTGTGACACAAAGCTGTGCCAAACCCTGTGTACGCAGGAGGAAACAGGTATTTAGCCAAAAGGACTCCCCAGATGGGGTTGGGTTGAGCATTAAACCTAGAACCCACTCGCTGACATTGCTAACAGAAGCAGTTCCTTGCGCCGGGCTAAAAACTGCTGCTGCTTTCTTTGTTTGCAACACGAGACTCACGCCACCTCATGCGTTAGTGCTAGCAAGTGTTCTGCCTTCTATCTCCAGGAGAAAACATAACCCCGTTTCCCTAATTTCCTAGTGTAGTTTTTAATCATTTGAGTTCCCACCCTCAGTGTGAAGAGGGGCAGCCCAGTTTTATTCCTCCAGTGAAAATTAAAGGGTTCCTCATATCTTGGTTTATTAAACCAAGATACTCAACATCCAAATGCAGCCACTAACTTTCAGTAAATGCAAACAGCTAATAACCTTGGAGAGTTCTTTATGTTAATTTAGCACTTTCTTCAGCTAAACTGTTTCCCCAAGTATTCTTAGACTCTGTGACCACATATTAACCAAGAGTGTTCTGAATAACTTCTTTATAGGTAGCCTAAACTTAAGAAGGAGTATTTGGCTTCATATTTTGTTCTGTTTGGACAGCAGACCTCCTCCCATTCCTCTGTCGTATCTCAGACTGCATTAAAAAAAAAGCATTATGGTGTAAACCACCCAGAGAGTTTTAGCTACTGGGTGGTATAGAACCATAATGCATGAAATAGAATGGTAAGTTGTTTTGCTGTGTAGCAAGGGAAAAAAACCGATGTTAAAGAACTACATGTCCAAAGCCCCCATGGCACTCAACATTAATTGCAAGGTTCTTCTGATTCTGGTAATGCTCTGTCCTCATTATAGCTATATACTCATACAATAATTTCCCTTTCTTCTTTTAAACCCAAGTGAAAAAACCAGGAAGTCTTCAGCACATGTTAATTTCCTTCCTCTTGTTTACTCCTCTTTTCTATGCACTCTTAATGACAGTTCGTAACTCCCAGCAAATTAAGGTACTATACTTAATTTAAAGCACATACACATTTTACTCCGGGATTTTTAATGCCACCAGGGAATTTGTTTCTGTAAAATTCCTCAAGAAAACTATTTTGGTAATTGACATGAAGGGGGCCTCCAATATTGCTAAACAGCACTTCTAAGCCTAGTTGAAAGGGAAAACATTTTAAAAATATTAATGAAAAGCAACATACAGGATGTTTAAGCCACTGCTCCTTGAATACAGGGCGCATCTTCTTATGAACCACCACCTCCTGTAGATCCTCGAGGGATGGATGCTGACCTATCTCTTCTTCAAATGGGAGCATGTATTCATCCACTGGACCTGAGTTGCATGGGGAGAAGTGTATAAATCAACAGGACAGGTAACCCTGGTTTAGTCTGATGCGTGTCTCAGCAAGAAAGTTTTAAACCACACACTTCACAGTTAATCATTATTGCAGAAGAAATGCTTAAGACACAGTGATCAACGGGGCAGTCTATTTCCACTTTGTGTTACCTCTGCATAATTGCATTCATAACCCTATAATCTTTTGTTTTTTAAATCTTCATGAAAACTCTTATATAAGTATGTATCTCCTCTCAAAATGTGTATTTTAAATGCATTTTAAAAGTTTATTTGTCACGCCATTTGGAGATTTGCAAAATCTGCTACCTTCCAATATTCCTATTAGTTTGGATGGTGCAAAACAGATCAGCTCATTCTGGAATTTGTAAAGTTTGAATTCCTAAAGCATCCCTACTGAGAAGCACCTGTAATAAATCTCAGATTTTATACCACATCTGCCAGCAAGGCCAAATCTGTCCTCTCTTCCTTCATGGATCATATTCCAAATATACTCAGACATGGAAAGTTAGCATTTCATTTCAATTATTAAATTATTAACTTTCAAAAGGCCTGCCATACAGGCTTCAAATTTCCCTTTCAACCAGTAATGGAAGGAGATCAGAAGGATTCACTTCCATTGTCAATTATCTGCAGTAACTTGTTTGATCTAAATAAGAACTGTGATTATTATTAACTAAGGTATAGGGAACAAACAATATCATTAAAGTTTGTCTAGGTTTTGACAGAACCAGTCACATGTTCACTAGAAAATGAAAGGAAAAGCCTTTGTATCTCCTCCTCCTGGCCATAGTGTAGGTGGGGGTGGGAGAATGTGTCAGTCCAAGTCTCATTCAAGGTCATTCCTAAACGAGTTTACTGTTATGTAAGAATGCAGCCAGTGCTTTAAAGAGCTGTGAGCTTGGAAATCATAAAACTGTCTCTTCAGGTGCAATCCTATATATGTTTAAGCAGAAAAAAGGTCCAACAATTTGTAGCATCCCCCAGCCCCATGCTGGCTTAGGGTTCTTGAGAACTATAGGATCTTTTTAAAATCTAAACATGCACAGGATTGCTCCTTTTATTTATTGAGATTTTCATCTGGTTCTATTTGCATCAGGTATTCACACAGCCACTAAGCAAAACACAGGTATAATACTCTTATAGTATAATACTGTAAGAGAATACAACAATACTATAAGAGAATACAACAATGTTTACATTGAATCCAACTATTCAGTCATATTGTTTCTAAGTAAAACAATAATCTTAGAAGGCTGCAAAAAATGCACACTTGATCAGCACTTTTACCTGGTTATTAAAGAGAGCAATCCAATGCCCTCCCACACTTGACGCTTTGAGCCTCCTGACTCAGACGCTTACGCGAGTCCAATGCACAGAGCAGGGCATGGTGCAGCTGCTCTGCACCCTGTCGGGCGAACCAGTGTGGAGGGGGAGTAAAAGAGACCGGAAAGCTATCTACAGATGGCACAGGCTATCAGCTCCAGCCTCCTCTACTCCCCAGTTCCCTCCCTGAATGTCCCTTTGCTCCTGCTTGAGGCCCATGTGTGATCTTGGAGAGGCAGCCCACAGTGCTTTTTCCATACCAGCTGCAAGGGGGAACGGGCAGGTGCTCAGCTTTCAGGATTCTGTGAATAACTGTATGGTCCCTCAGACAATATTGGGAGGACACAGGATTGTGCCCCCCAAAAGCTCATACATTACTGTATTGCATATGAGTAAAAAATAGCGGTTTTACTTCAAAGTAAGAAAATTTAGTTGCATGTATTCGACGCAACAGGAGAGTAGGAATGGTCACAGTGATAAAGTAAATTAATAAAATACTTATTCTCTAAAGAAAGTTACAGTTACTTGCAGTCTCTCATGGCTCTTTTTGCAGCAGATAAGCTAAAGTTTGCTGTCCACTTGACTTGCTCACCTCTTGGTCCTGAAGAAGAGCGACCTTGTCTGGCTACCAGAGAGGTCCTGTGCAACCCCATTCCACTGTCATGCTTTTATGCAGAAAAGCTTTACCTGTTATCTGATTATCCAGTTATGCAGGAATTTTGCCAGTTAATTTGGGTAAGCAAAGACCTCATTTTCCTAAAGGGGTCTCATCCCTGCAGAAGGATGTGTCCATTATTTCTCAGAGAACTGCAATTACTCCTAAAGCTGTAGAAGTCTCAATACTCACCATCAGCTGCTCTGCATCTGGAGACCAACTCCCACAATACTAACCCCATTGCATACATGTCTATTCTTAGGAAAGCATCTCTCTGGAAGTTGATTGCTCCTTCTAACACCTCAGGAGCCATGTACCTTCTTGTTCCCACCTGCAACAGGAAACAAAATCTGTCACTGGGACTGAAAGACAGCCACTATAGATTAAATAAATATATACAGAGAAAGAAAGCAAGAGAAAGAAAAAGAGAAGTAGGGTTGAGTTATGGCTGCAAAGAAAGAACAAAGGTACTTGTCTTAACCAGTGTCAAATCAGTAGTTTCTCTCTCCACCACTATTTTTCAGCTTGAATACATTTATGAGCAGGAATTTGGTCATGAGGCTAGCTTCAGGTTCAAAGCTGCAGAAAGGTTATCAGGACAGAACTAGGCGATAACGCAGATCTCTCCAGCTGTAGTGAAGAGAAGCTAAAGAGCACGGCCAACCTGCTAAGCACTCCTTTTGAAAGATGAGGGTCATGCCTGAGATGCCATGCATAAGGGGCGGCATATAAAAGTTTTACATAAATAAATACCCTGAGGGCATCCCATCATTGTCACTGGAGTTGCTTTTACTAGGTTTTACTAGTTCACCAGCTGTGGTCTTTCCTGGACAGGGATAGCTTAACCATAGTAATATAGGCACAGGTAACCACTGCAATGCCCTTTTGTCCAGAAGCTGTACAGAATGCCAGCTGCAGACCTTCTCCACATGCAACAGCTTCGGGGGGGAAACGGCACTAGCTGACTCTTTGCTACTGGGTCGGGTTTAAGGTTTTGGTCCTAGCACTGTAAAGCTCTAAACATCTTGCGATCAGGACGTCTGTGAGAGAACCTCCTCCCTTACTGACCTGCACAATTACTGAGCACTGGGAAGACAGTCTTCTGGTGGTTCCACATGGATCTATGGCCTGACTGGAGTTCACCAGGAGAATGGTCTTCAGTGTGGTAACGCCATTTCTTTGGAACTACCTATCTCTGAAAGTCAGGCAGACACCAGTACTGTATTCTGGATAACACTTTTATTTCAGCAAGTCTTCCTGAATGAACCAACCACAGCTTTATTGATCTTGTTTTTAACATAGTTTTATTCTTTTAACTGTTTATATTTTATTGTTCGCTGCTCCAAGATCTCTGTTCCAGAATATGGAGCAGAAAATATTGAAATAATAAAATAATATTAATTAGGCAGTGGAGTGAACCTATGTGGGAGGAGTGGGCAGTCTACAGACAGAAACTAGCACGGTCTGTGGCTTAGGGCAGGACTGTACAATATGTGGCCCTCAGCCTAACCACAGAAGCTCTTTTCAAGTGAGTTGCCTATGGCACAAAAGCCTCCCACCTTCTGGGTCATGGCATAAAATGACAGGGGAAATAGGTGGTGTGATAATTCCTCATAAGCAAGAATAATTTCACCACTAGAGACTGCTAGAGAGTTTTCTCTGTGAGGAGGAGGAAGTGGTCAATAATGGGAGAAGCTTTACAATTTCTCCCATCCCAGACCCAAAGAAAGCCATAATAAGGTCAAGGGGGAAAGTCAAGGCGTTCTCTTGTCATAAACATAGGGAAATATTCACAAAGGATTCCAGAGACCATTAACTACCAAAAGACACATCTGGAAATGCAGGATACAAAAGAGGAATTACTGTACCTTACATGTGATTCAGTAACTGGGATACAATTTAATTTTACAGGGAAAAAAGAGTTAAGTGGGCATCTGTATAGCTGTGTAGCTGAAAGGCACACGCCAGTTTTACCCCCATCCTGCCTTTTCAAAAGACAGAATCAAAGCGATTGAACAAATTCTTGCAACAGCCATTAAATTACAGGGCCAAACTTAGCGTGAGTGGAACTGGGGTAGGCTGTGAATGCACGTGTGCGTGTGCACACTTACTGGGCGTGTCAGCCCTGCACATGATCCTGCCTGGGGACTGGCATCCCCTTCTCTCTGCCGCTCCTGGCAGGCAGCACCGCTAAGCCTTTTGGCAGCCATGTATGATCGGTGGACTATATTCAGACTGGAGGTTCACGATTTGTGCAGGCCTGGATTATTCTGGTCTGCATCCATGATTGTGAGAAGAAAGTCAGGGATCGAAGTGATGCTGGATCGACTGATAGCGGAGTCAGACCTTGGTACCTTGAATTGGTTGACAGTGACTGGCGGCATTTTTCCAGCCATGCCCAGCAATACTGGGGATGGAACTTGGGGTCTTCTGCATGCAACGCTCCTGCTGAGCTGCAGCCCCTTGTTCTACTGTTGCAGCAGAATGAGATGACAGAGTAAAAAGCACAGCCCAATTTTTTAATATTCTGGAAAAAGAAAAATCCTAACTGTAAGCAAGAGGAACTGCAAGCCATTGCAGATAGAAAGTTTTGGGCATCTTCTCACTGCTCTTTTAGTATTCTACTGAAAGGGAGTGTGCATGCGTGCTTGAGTATTCAAACCACAGGAACCTAATCTGACCTTAAAGGGCAGTGTGCTGCAGGACCCTACTGATAATGTGGACTAGCTGTCAAAGCACTAGGATGCAACTACATGCAAATGCAGGTGCATTTTCTTGGGAACTGCATCCTCTTCCATAGACAATAAGCAAGGAAATACAACTCCTGCTTATTGCTATGTGCTCTGAGAGGTATTGATAAATGAGGCAGCCTAAGGAAACCCTAAGCTGTAGCTGTTACCTGTCCGTGAGTATCTCCTGGAGGTTTCCCAGGTTCAAACCGTACAGCCAATCCAAAGTCAGCAAGCACGGCAGTCAAGTCATTTTTCAGCAATACATTTTTGCTCTTGAAGTCCCTACAAAAATAAAAAAGGAAGAGGAAAAGTAGAGGAGAGGGTCTCAAAATTACAGATTCTACCACTGGCCATGATAAAACATCTGATTGATTCAGAAAGCAACTCATTTATTATGATTCAGAAAACTCCTGAGTTTTGCAATCCTGATTTATCTATAGCCAATGGGAGTTTGGCTACTGATGTCAACATTAGGGGATGTGCACATATTAAGCAGGGATTTTCAGAAAGGGAAATATTGGTGAGCAAAGCCAAAATCAACTTGATACCAGGTCATCCTGTTTAACAAGCTTCCTGAAATCCCCTAACATTTTATACGCATTTAAGCTCTGGACCTGTGCTTTCCTAGAACGTTTATGCAGGTATTGGAATGCCAGCTCTCTGTCTGGTTCCCTTTAGAGAGACCTTGGCTATTGGGTGGTATAAAAATGAATGAAAGAAAGTTAAGTACACTTTCACCCTTACCTACCCCATAAACGGAAACCCTGCTTATGAAGTCTTTCCCAGACTTTCCAACATTTTCAACAGGGGAGAGGAAGAGAAAGGGGATGTGGTTGAATATAATTAAATTACAGACCTCAGGCAGCAGATGGCCAGCCCGTGTGTGCACAGCATTCTAATTCTCCTGCCATCAATTCAATTCACTGTGGTAACCCTGCTGGTCGGATTGCAGGGCAACCACAGGCACATACAATGTAATTAATGAGGGCAGATACCATTGTTTTTCTGAAATCTTCCGTCAGAATATGTTAGGAAGAGACACACTGCAGTAGACAAAAGCAATTGGGGCGGAGTACAAGTCAGTAAATTCCCAGGGCGCAAAATCCCTTGCAGGAGGACCCCATCCCCACAGTCCTCTGTTCGTCAGAGACAGAGAGAGGACGATTTCCTTACAGATTGCAATTGTTAAATTGCATCACAGATTGCAATTGTTAAATTGCAGTCTGAGGAAAAAATGCAACTAAGTCTTTGCTAAGCATTGAAAATGATGGGCAATGCATTTTTTCCTCCTCCTGGCTAACACTGCGATTGCTAGTTCAACTACAGTAGTGCCTGCAATTACCTATTTTAATAAAGATTTATTTATCATGTCTGGGGTCCCATAAGGGTCCCCAGGGGAGCTCACAACAATGCAAAACACATTGTGATACAATAAAAGTAGCCACCCATAAAATTAACACGCAGTTAAAATCCATGAAGCGCCTGGTGAAATAAAAGCATCTTGGCTGCCTACCTAAAAGCCATCGACAAATGGGACAGCCAACCCTCTCTTGGAAAGAGTTCCACAAGTGGATACTGCCACCGAGAAGGCCCTGCCTCCTTTGACTGCCAGCCACACGTCCCTTGTAAGATGGTCACAGAGGAAGACCTCTGATGATGCTGACTGCAAACCAGATTGGTCTGGTTTATGCAGCCCTTCACATACCCTCTCTCAGAGCATTCATGAGTCTATAGATAAGAACCGATACAATCAGTGCCAACTTCTGATGTAACTGTTAGGGATGGATGAAGAAGCTGATTTCCATACAGAGTCTCCCATGAACTGAACTGATCCATGCACCCCCACCCTAAATGTGTGCATTGGAACTATAGAGCTATACTCTAGCCTTTGAACACCTCAAATGTTCTGATGCAGATCTTGGCATAAAAAAAAAATCAAAAGAGATGTGTACTTTGAATTCAAATTAAAACCATTTTATGGATTCTTTACAGATTATAGATTAAAGCAGAGATGGGGCAGAATGGATTTATAGGGGAATACAGTTCAGTATTAAATACTTAGATAGTTAGAAGATGTGGTGCTCAGGACCAGAAAGACAAAATTACTTAACATTGTGTGTGTGTGTGAAACTGTTTCTTGCACACACAGACACATATCTATATTAGAGTAACTACAAAAGAGAAATAATAAAACAGCAAGCCATTTTGGCTTCTGCTTTCTTAAGTTGCTCTGATATGCAGCAATGCCTCAACTTGGCTTTAAGATTTTGATTTTTTTTTAAATCTCAATCTCTCTCTCTCTCTCTCTCTCTCTCACACACACACACACACACACACGATACAGAGATATGGCTATAATTAACGAAACCATTCTGAGATCCAGAACAAACTCATCTGAAATTCTGCTGTAAAAATGCTTTTTTGTTGCAAAATTTAGAAATAATTACTAGAATTAAAATTTTTGTAAGATAATTCAATTTCCTATACAAATAACCCCAAATAAATTCTTCAAATAATTTGCATCCCACTAAAGAGCAACTCTGAAAAGTTTCTCTTCAAATAAATTCCCTTTTTAATTAACCCCTATTCATGATCCCCCACAATAAAATAATGTGACAATAATTTAGTCATCGAATTTAACAAAAAGTGACTCTTTCTATCATCATTGCATAAATCCAGGTGTCCACAGTTAAAGTGGAATCTTTTGCCCCATTCACATGCAATGAGTTGCCACCATGGATGAATTTCCCCTCTATACTTCTTGTTGTGGTAGCTGCCATTTTGATCACCTGGGATATGCTCTGGTTTCTTGCCATGTACAAACTCAGCAAGGGTGAAAGCCACAAGGGTTGCGGGTAGCTAACAAGCCATGGGCTGTTTTAGGGGTGTGGGTGGCTTGTCAACCACCAATGACTCATCTGTGCCTAGTTCACATGTAACAAGATGCTTGCACCGAGATACCTTGCTCCAGAAAGATGCAAAAGAAGTACAGAGTCAAGCCAGACCCTCTCTTGGTTATTTCCTGGCCTTGTCTCTCTCTACGCTGAAGTAGACAAGTTACAGAAGGAGCCACACGGAAGCCTTTCCTTCCTTTGTCCTCCTGCCGGCATCGTAGAGCCCTCTCCACTCCTCCATGTCTTAGAAATAGCTTTAGCTCACTCTCGACATGAAAAATCCCCCTCCTCTTCCTTCCACCCCAGTGCCTCTGTGAGTGACCTCTCCTGTCCCTGGCACCATGGAGGCTTCTGTCACTTCCCCTGGGGGGTACCAGGCAGCCTCTTCTCCCCCTCATGAGGCAGCCACAGCAGGCAGGCACTGCGTCTCCTCCCATGCCCTCAGCTGGCACATGGCAGCTTCCAAGGATCCTAGAGCGAGCTGTACCTGAGGCATGTTAGCATTGCTACGATATGGGGGACACTATGCATAAGCATTAATTGCTCGCTAGAGTAAGGCACCTGGTCTAGCCAAATGACTTCTGGGATTTCTTCTGGTAACCCTGACTCTGTCTTTAAAGTATGTGGTGCTGAAATTAGCATTTTAGAAGAGTTCTTCTTAGAAAAAGCAATTTGCATTTGTTCAGGGACAAGAGGTGGAAGGAAGAAAGAGCACATCAGAACTGATTCTAAGAAACTGGGAGTATTTACGTAGGAAAAAATGTAATCATCTCTTCCCTGAAATTTATTTCTATATGCCATTAGAGGGCACTGCTGTACCAAAATGCTAGGATAGTTTTTTTTTTTTTTTAACTTTCTGCCTTCAGGGAAACCTTTCTGAAGGAGCCTCTCCTCAGGAAACCCTGTGCATCTGCTGTGTAGCGCTGTGCAAGTTGCAAAGAATACTGCACCATGTTCTCCGCCTGTGCAGCCATAATGGAGAGATCGGCAGCTTTCCTCACACGTAGAGGCGGCCCCCAAAAGAGCTGTTGTAGCCCACCTTTTGAATGAGGCAGGAGCAACGATGGCCTTCCTGGTACTGTTGGACAACAGCAGTTGGATTCTTGATGGCTGGCCATGCTGGAGTCCAACATCAGCCGAAGGACCACAGGTTGAGAGCGTGAGGGTCATGCTGGATCAGATCAAACATCTACCAAGCCCAAAATTCCGTTCACAGTAGCAAACCGTGTCCCATCGGGAAGTCCACAAGAGAACATGAGTGCCACATTTCTACTCATGTTCTCCCACATAGAGAAGTATATCGATTCTGATACTGGAGATGCTTTAAGCGACCAACCCTAGTAGCCCTTGTCCCCAATGAGTTTGTTTAATCTTTTTAAGCCACCAAAGGCGATGGCCATAACTATAATTTATCACAGTGAACTGCATAGTTTGACTGTACATTTTGTGAACAATTTCCTTTTATCTATCCTGGATCTGCTACCGATTAACTTCAAAGGAGAAGACAGACTTCTAGCATCGCAAGAGATGGAGAAAATGTCTCTCTATCCACCTCTTCCACATTATGTGCACACATCTCTGTAATTTCTCTTGTAGAACTCAGTCCTTCCTCACATACCCATTTAAACCCTCCATCCCCACTCTTTCTATATATTTCTTGCCCATTAAACCTACAACACAGCCTTCCACAAACAAGTGCCCTGTAGCTGTATTGGACTACAACTCCCACTGCCTACAGCCAACACGCTGACCATGCTGACTGGGGTCAATGGGAGTTGCAGCCCCACACATCTAGTGGGTACCCAGTTGAAGACAGCGGTTCTACAATATTTTCTCACTTGTTTGAACACTTTGAATAGTTCAGCTGGTAGGTTTAATCTAAGATAAGCAAAATGAGACTAGTATCTGGGCATCATGTATGGGTGGCATCTCTTTCCACATACAGTATTATTCTTTGCAACAAGTATGAAGGACTTGGGTGTTTCCTCCTAAAATTTCACAAGAGTTGGTCAAGTCTTGGGAGACTTCAAAAATTCTCATGAGCTCATTAATTCTACAAGAACACTGGATTACAGGAATGGAAGAATTTTCTCGACAGATTATTCCAAAGTGCAAGCAGAAAGCAGCTACCCAGATGCCTCCAAGAAATGCTAAAGCAGGGCAAAAAGGTCTGGTAACTCTCCAATTATTTGCTCCCCAGCATCTTGTGAAAAACAGAACCATCACTAGGCTCTGGCCCAAAGATATTTCTCAGTCTTCCAAATGTCAGCAGCCACACTTCAACCAATAAAGACAGCCAATGGTGGCTGGTCCTGCACCATGTATTCCATAACCAGCATCTAATTGAGCAGTGGTCTGCAGCAGAATGAAACTGAATGACACAGAGAAAGGTTTTAGCAAGGCCTTCCAAGTCTCATCAAAAATCTCCAAGATTTAGTCAAGTCTCATGAGGCTTGACCAACTCTCCCAAGATTTTTTCAAGTTTTCCAGAACTGCATCAAGAATTGTGTCTGAGACTATTCAGGGCCACAGACCCATCTGTCTGGGTTCAGACTATAGACTTGCCAGACTTGCTGGGCACTCCAGCAGCTACCCTACATGGCCACAGAGTACCTGGTGAGGTATGTCAGCAAGTCGTGAGTAGACCCCAAATCTTTTGTATGCTCCTTCCTTCTTTACCATCTTGCTCAGTCACAGAGGTTTTCTGAAAAGGCACTCTTTATGGCGCCACAAAGGCTGGAGATCTGCTTCAAAACCACTCGGAGCAGGGCATCTACTGTGGGGCCTCTCACCTTGCCGAGAATGGGAATGCAAGTATGCAACTTCATTTCTGTCAATTCCAGGAGGCCTTTCTTTTCAGGCAAGTAAATTCTGCCTAAACAGTAAATTCCAGCCAGTGTTTTATTGATTTGTTTGCTTTTGCTGTAAGTTTTGTATTTTACGTTTTCGTTTGTTAAATCCTGCTCCAATATTGTGCCATGTGCAATGGTTTATAGATTCTGGAATAAGTTCTTTGCAATACCCCTGTTCTGAACATACAGTTTCTATGCAGCTACTACAGCTAATACCTGGTGACAGATGTATAAAGTCACGAACAGGACATTTGTCCTGTCCTCCTTTAAAGCCATCAAAAGTAGTGGCCTTGACCATATTTCCTCTCTGCATGTTCCACGGCAGGTTCAGGATTTAATAAACCTCTGCTGTGCTCTTCTGCTCCTGCCGACTCCCAGCCCCCTTAAGATTGAACCGTCAAGCAGTTTAAACTCTGCTCAAAGCAAAGGCTTCCATCCTCTTAAGTATCTCAATTGCCCCCTTTGTTCACACAATTCACAGTAAGAACTAATCAAGCAAAGGTGTTTTTGCTGAATGATATGGACAAGTTTTTTACTGATAAGACTGCAGCCTCCCAAACCCATGAAAAGGACAAGAGAAAAAAATAGTCCACCAAAACCCCTGGAAAGACTGGGTACAGAAATGGAGCATGCTATATGGGGAATGTTTTGGTCTGACATAAGGAGAACATAAGGAAACTCTCTTATACCAGGTGAAGTCGTGGATCCCTGGAGCCCACTGCTGTCAAGAATGGGCCAGATGTTGCTGGACTACAAGTCTCATCATTCCTCACAACTGGCCTGCTGGTTCTACGCTACCTTCAGTGTCAGAGGCAGTGAGTCTATCTACACCACTTGCTGGGGCATTTGGGCAGGAGGGTGCCGTTTCACTCCTGTCCCTCTCAGAATTGGCCGCCTCCTATGTGAACCGAACATTTGACTAGATGGATGTAGGTCTGATCCGGCATGGTTCTTGGGCTCTTATCCTGCCTAGGACTGCTGCAACTTACAGCCCAGCAACCCATCCTTGACTTTCTAAAGTATTTTTTAATTCTGCCACTGGATTTCTTTTTCTAACTGAGATTCTAAATTGGATCTAAACTGGGACATTCTGCAGGCTTCCAGTAGTCCCTGCTATCTGTTTCCATTGACAGTGACCTACCGGAATCTCTCCTGAATGCATTATGCTGGGGGGCAGAGATAGTTGTGGACCAAACCAGGGACCTTTGGTCTGTATAGTGTAGATTCGGCACCTGGACTAAGACCCCTCCCCAGTATAGAATGGGTTGCAGAACGTTTCGTTCATCCGGGCCTGCAGTTTCACCAGCTTCAAGTAAGGACCCTACCTGTGTGCTATAGCAGGCTTGTGTCCTTCACCTTTACACCAAGGGACATCTTCATGCAGATAGGAGAGTCCACGTGCCATTGTTTCCGCCACATGACAAAGTTCATTCCAACTGACGATGTTCCCCTTCAGGTAGTCGGTTAGAGAGCCCTAGAAGAAATACAGCGTTGTTCAGGCTCCTTACTGTAGCACGATAATGACAAAAGCATCCGGAAGGGGCAGTCCTATGGCTCCTCAGTAGCCTCTGAGCAGCCACAAGTTTTTTCAGTTTTTCCCAGAGGCAAGACTGGAGACAGTGCACTGACCTGGAGACCAAGAAGCAGAGTTCTGACTCCCTCCACCTAGCAGCCAGTGCGGAAAGAACCACAACCTCCAGGAAGGCACTCCAGCCAGATGGGCAAAAATACAGCAAATTGTGGGCCGGGGTGGGGGTGGGGGAGATTGCCTCTGCCACTCCCTCAGTTCTATATAGGATGAATGTGAGTGTTTAGGGACTTACGGGTATTGCAAGGATTGTGCCCTAAGTTTACAGTGAGTACAACCCAGGCAAAGTTACACAGTTTAAGGCTGCAATCCTCTACATGTTTTGCTGGGAGAGAATTCTGCATAAACATGAATAGGATAAGGCTGCAAATAATATTCATTTCCATGGGAAAGCTGAGTGCATGCTGAAATCTCCCCTCACTGAGAGGGACTTAAATGTGCTTAGCTTTTGAGGTATAATGTCCAGTTTGGACTACTGTATTTATAGCAGCATACCAAAATCAAAATAGCCTCAAAAAGAACTCTGCTCTTAACCTGTACGACCACCAAGTAATATTTGCCTTCAGCAATTCATCAATTAAAGGTTTAACTACCTAATTACAGCCTTTTGCCCCTTTTCACTCTCATGTGGAATTTAAGAAGCTTGAAAGCAGGATTGCAGCCATAGTCTTTGGGATGGGAGGATGCAGCTGAATTTAAGGTGGGTTTTACCACCAGAGACAGAAAAGGGAGCTGGGAAAGATCTAGAGAACAGGCAAGGATAGTAAAGATAGGCATACTGTATTTTTTAAAAAAGTGCTCCCATAATATGGCTGGGATTATGTTTCAGACATCTAGAAAGACTGGAGGCAAGTAAACCCAGAAAGGATTTCCAGGGTTCGGAATAGTTTGTTTCCAAATTATTTACCATTCTTTGCAACAAATCCTGAATTATTTGCAAAAGTCCAATTGTATAAACTGAGTAAATTTGTCTACATTTAGAAACATAGAAACAGAGCGAATCAGAAGGGACCTCCCAGGCCATCTAGTCTGACCTCCCTCATTCTGATTCCATTTCAGCTCCCTCATTCTGATGCTGTTTTATGGTACTTGTTCCCACAGATGTGCCTTTTGCAATAGCATGAAACACTAAATAGCAAAGAGAAGAAGCACTCGGGGGGTGGGGACAAAGGCAAACGAACAAACAAACACCCAGAAACTCTGCAGGGGAGGGATACAGAGTTTTCTGTCTGAAGGTTCTACTAATTTCCAAAGTTGATTTCCCTTGAGACATTTCTCAAACTTTGTATCACAATCGGAGTAAAAGAGATATCCTTCTTGTTCATGTTTAAGTGCAGAATGCTGCGTTCACATTAAATATAGTGCAAAGCTTTGTATAAGAACTCTAAGTCAGCTCTGTCACAGCTCCCACTTACAAGTTTTGGCTGTTGTGTACAATTCAAGCTCCACCTGTATATGGGAGGATCTTGGAATAAAAAAGGAAAGGTTAACTAGATGAAGAATCCAGCATCACCTACCTTCTTCCTTGTGCATCACCTTTCTCTCCCCAGGAGTGAGAACACCAATATTCCTGGGAACCAGACAGCATGGGCCCTTCCCTGGTATAACTCTTGGCTTCTCTTGCATGGGAAGATAGGTGGAAGAGAAATGGGACTGAACTTTCAGCTCTTCTGCCACTATCAAGATGGCAACATATTCCCTTATATTTTACCTTGTCATGGAAAGCTGTGATCAGCCATAGTTCCGTCTCCAGGTTTGTTCCTCGCTTCTCTGCAGCAATAAACTGCAAAAGGTTTTCGTGCTTCATGCCTGGGGTATTGAAAATCTCCCGCTCACTCTGCCAGGATTGTTTATCCTATGAGGAGAGTGATAGGGCAGTGGGGAAAAAGAAGTAGTTTAAAAGAAGACAGACAATCCAATATTGTGTGTACAGCTATTCTTGTGCATTCATGGTATAATCCAGTATCCTATCTCTGAATTGAGAGAATTAAATTGGGCAAGATGCTGAGAATTCTCTGTCAGACATCCTACACTTTGATGTCTCCCTGTGTCTGACCATTTGATGTGTTTGCATCTGTGCGCATAGGTGGCTGGCTCTGATGATAGCTTTAGCATCAGGTACGGCCTTTAGTCTAACCCAACATGACTCCTCTTTTAAGTTCTTACGTTACAAATATTTGCACAAAATCCCTAACTTGAAAAATCAGTTGGAGAGGATTGGCTATCTTACTTCACTAAGAATTGGAGAAAAGCAAGAAAATTGTTGGGTCCCAAAAACTTCTATTTTCCTAATAGAAAGACAAAGAAAAATCATAATTTTAGGCAAAGTTACACAAGAAAAAGCCTACATACCCAACAAGGCTGGCGGGAGAATGCTGCGAGTTGTATGCTTTTTTCTGTATAAATTTGCATATGATTGCATCATAGGAAAGTGCTATGCAGTTATTAATAAATAAGGTTACACTCATACAGACTCTTAAAATGAATCCCATTGACTCAAAAGAGTTTATTTCCGCATACATATTACAGGATTGCACTGTAAATCTTTCCTAAATTTGTTCAGTGGAAGCACAGAAAAGAACAAGTACTGTGCAGACATTAACCAGATTTAAACCTTTTGTATATAATCTTAACAGTTACAGCTTTCTAATCTGGATTAGAATAAAATATCCCACTAGTTAGTCAGAGCTGGCCTGAACAGATGACATGAAAATCTCCTCCTTTAAATCCATGATGGCAAACAAATTGTGGGGGATTAAATAATAAAGCACAGTGCATCGAAAGCGTTCTCAGGGTACAGCAGACTTAAAACTGCTTCAACTATCATTCCTGCTCTAAGCTTGGACACGGTTGTACAGGAGTGATGGGAGGAGAATCTACGAAGCTCTAACAGGAAATTCTCAGCATCTTCATCAAACTCCAGGCACCAGAATCCTTTGGGAAGGTCACAGTGACTAAACTGTATAAAAATAATTGGTCTGTAGAAGCTTTTCTACTTGATAATCCAGGGCACAAGAATTCTCCAAACACAGTTTGAAAATTCTGCACAGAAGCAATTAGCAGGAATATAAAATCTGTGCACACACATCCTTGATTTATTTTTCCCCTTTCCCCAACCCCCATTCATCTGGTTTTGTTCTTCAATCAGTGATAAGCAAAGAGTTTGGTTTTCTTCAACACAGTATCACTGGTACTATCAACACTTTAGCACTAAATATTTCTCACTAATAGCTCACCCACAGGGCAAATAAAGTGCATAGTTGCATTCCATTTTCTGCTTTATCTGTACACAAGTCCATAGAAATATTTAGAAATAAGCAGATTTAGAATTAGCCAAGAAGTAACATTAGAGTGAAGCAACCAAGGGAGCTAATTGATTGCATGTAGAGAAAGAACTGACTTAAAATAAATCATTCAACAATATTCTAATTGTACATAGCCCATTTGAAGTTGCTAATTGCTACTGGTGGTTGTTTCCTTTTAGCATCAAGTCCAAAGTTCCAAGATACAAAATCCATAGTCCTAAAATGTGCACAACTCAAAGTTCTGGAATTCACCTTTAAAGTCTTAAATGGCCAGGGACTGGAACAGCTGTAGGAACACCTCCCCTCACATCATGTGGCCCATGCACTGGCATCTTCAGAGGTGGCCATGTGCTGTGCAACCACGAAAAAGGTGGGGGGGGGCGCTCCTCTGCAGGGCTGCCCTGACTATAGAACGGCTGCCAAGGAAGGTTTGATTGAGGCACCAACTCTGCGTTCTTTCTGATGTCAAATTAAAATGGTCCTGTTTGCCTAGGGATTCAGAGAAGCATTCTAAAATTTTAAAAGTTTAATATTTTAGAATTAATTCAATCTAAACTGTTCTTAACACGTTCCAAATTCCTAAAGTTTCAATAAACCAGAGCAGTAGTGTATTGCCCTGTGCTCACCTCCTTTCCTCATCTTCATCCTCCAAATGGGTTAGGAAAGCTATGGTCGTGCTACTCAAAAAATGCCAGCTTGGTTTTGATTTATAAGTGCCTGACCATGGCACTTAAACTGTATAAAAATGTATTACGTAATAAAATAGTTTCTCCCACAGGAACACTTCTAGGTCACGCTGGGGTTTTGCCCAGGCAAGAAGCGTATCCCTTCACTTGTGATTCCTTGTTCTTGACTCCCATCCAAGGGCTGCTCCACTGACAAAGAGGTGAATAAGAGCCCATTTGGAGTAAGACCCTCAACTACAGTTGAGGATTGCATGAACAAGCAGCAGGAAGTCACCAACTTGCAGGTCTTCTTTCAAAAGTAGCCAGAAGGAGACTGGAAACATCTGTTGCCTGTTTAAAACTCACAGAATTTATAGCTATATTCAAACTTGTGGGAACACTGGTTAGCTTAAGCAAGTCTGTTGACAAGCTAGGATCATGAACCATGTTTTGAACTAAGCTTGTGTCAAGAAACCATAGTTTTACCTAGGCAGAATATCCCCTATTTCCAATGTAATAGTAAACTTGTTAGTTAGAAACAAGTTGGTACTTCCAATCCTTTCCTTGTAGTTGGTCCCACATGGTCCACATGGGCCTGAGGTGCACTGAAACTAATGCATGCATCAGTAAACCATGGCTTAACGTTACGTCTCTAATGTATCGAACTGTGTCTTGGTCTGTGCTGGACTGAATCTGTAACTAGCAAACATATTGCTGACTCTAAAGTCCTTCCCCAATTCCAAAATGTGGCTCCAGTTAAAAAAAACCATTGCTTACCTATAACTTAAAATATCTTTTATCTGGAAGTTAAGAAGTCATTAATTCTGGGCAACATGCCCAATCCCGCACTTACCTGTATGGGAAAGATTTTCACTGCTACATAGTCATTCACCAGCTGAGCCTTCCAGACACAGCCAAAGCGCCCCCTAGCCTTGATTTCCAGCAACTGCAATGGCTTAAGTCCAACCAGGGGAGATGGGGGTGGCGGACCTGGGTCCTAAACAAGAGATGGGGGTAATGAGATAAGCAAGATGGAGTTGAAAACATTTGTTACTGTCCCTACCCATGGGCTGTCCCTACCCGTGTCTAACCCAGGCTGGCTGAGGATCATCAGTCTTTCTTAAGCTGCTAAACTGACAGGAGCCATTCCCAGGGCGAAATTAGGGGACAATACCCCAGGAGAGCACCTCCTGAAGCATAAAGCCTGTAGAGCACTGCACCTGTCAGTCAGACTGACTGCCTTCCTGGCGATGGGGGTGGTGCCCTGCATGTGTGCGCGCGCACACATAGGAATGACCAGCGCTGCCTACCTCCCCCCCCCCACCCCCCGGATGGTGCAGTCCCCTAAATTTACTGTTTGACATCAACGGTTGTTTCACACATTACAGAAAAGTAAACCCAGGTTTTCACCAGGAGTCTGCTCAGTAGCAGCCCTGCAGCTGATCACTGGTTGCTGCAGAGTGCACCTGTGTAAGTGCTTGGAAGTACATGCTTGTTCCATTCATGCTTTGCATTTTATCCAGATAGGTTAAAAAAAATGATGCACAAAGTGCTCAAAGGTAAAACTGTTGCTGGCTAAGCCTGGCCTTGGCATATGTGACTATGGTATGCTGCTGATCCTTCACTTGAAAAAGAATAAATTAACCTCAATTCTGGTGAATAACCTTAATGCTCTTGTCTGTCTAGGCAGTATCAATGCACACTTTAAAAATAATGGTACACATACGTAATTTCCCCCAAAGTCTGTCTCAGTATTTAGAGAGAAGAACAGAGAAATTTTCCTGAACCTTAATTAGTGCAGTCTTTTACCACATATTATTCCAACTAAAAGCATTACTTTAAAAATGAAATCAGGCTAATGTACTTCTCTAAAAACAAGCCATCATGTGGGAGTTCAGCAAACTTAAATGACCTTTTTTCCAGCAATCACAAACGTTTTTGAGCAGCACTATTCACGGTTTTTGACACTGACATTTCCATGGCCTTAATTCAACTTTTTTTCCAGTTCTATACTATGTTTGTAAGGAATGCAGAGTTCCACTTTAAAACAATAGAACAAAATATTATTCTGTAATTGCTGTCGCTCATATACAACCAAAACAGAAAGTCTAGAAACCCTTGGGAACTTTCTATCCCATTCTTACGATTTCTAAGTGCTATCAAATGGTCAGATGTGTTTGGGGTGCTAACAAGCAGGTCATGAAGCTGCAGTCACCCCCCGTATGTAGCCCCCAGAACACTCAGGATTATACTCAGTGGACTCTGGTTGTTCCTACATCAGTGTGGCAGGTAATGACTAGGTTCTGACAAGCCATTTTTGCAACCATTGTTGGTCTGCCATGTTGTCTGAATCCAGTCATGGTATTTCACCATGGTGAGTTTGGTCTCGAAAAACCATTCCTTGTATCACAACGGCTATCCTGATCTTTAAACCCAGGACTATGCTTTCCATGGGCATGGTATACAACTACTACAGGGTCCTCTGAAAAGAAAGACAACTGCAGGAGCCATTATAACCATGGTCTATGTGTGGACCAATGAGAAAGAGGCGGGCTACACAGGCAGGGAGTGGTGCATCTTGGGATGAATTTCAGGTACAGTGGGTGATGGGATATATACCAACCATGAAAGGAGGGGAGGATGTAAACCATGATATACCAACCGTGGGGAGGATGTAAACCATGATAAAGTAGCAACCACTCGATTGTCTATCAGGTAGATGATGGTAAAAAAAAAACCCCTATGAACTCCTGGCTTCCACCCAGGATTACTTGTATTGCTGTGTTAAAGGAGGCAGTCTGAATTTTACAGGAACTACCTCTGGTGTATAACCTTACTCCAAAATAGATGCATTACCATGGAGAGCTTCTCACCAGCTACAGCTGAGAGGGAATATACTGCTGTATTGACAGTGGAGGCAGCAGTCTCCACTGAGTATTTGGGCTTCCTATTTAGCCATTATGTCTAATAGACACTGGTGGATCTCCCCTCAATGAATCTGTTAAAAATTATGTAACACCTGTTCTACACCTGACAGCAGGTGAGAAGTAACATTTCAGAATGTATTTCCATGTAAAAAGAACCAACACTAAAAATACCATTAGTAGACCATGGTTCTAGCTTGAGCTAAGCCTGTTGTGCTACTTTTCAATTTGCAGAAGGGTAAGGGGGCATTGAAAATGTGATTCCCACATCTGCCATCTGAAGTGGCACAATCCATTCAACCACCTCCAGACTCTGCCACTTAATTCTGTTCTTGAGGAGGGAAGGGCTAAGCTAGGAACCAGCAATCAACCAACCACCCCTGTCCAGAAAATGCCATAGACTTTAATATAACTTGAAACTGGTCGTCGATCTCTTCACAATGTAGGTGAAGGCAATGGACAACCCTGTCCTTACGTGACTAAATGACCATAATGGTGACCTTCCACTTAGCCTCAAGGAAGGTCTAAGGGTTCATAATTTTCCTATACTAGGAAAGCTAAGCAAATTCTAGCCTGGACAGTTTTTGGAAGAAAGCAATTAGGAGTAATAGATAATATATATTTCCCCGTATTTGCCTGTTAATTTATGTAAATCTCTACTTGTAAGATCCACGAAAGGACAGGACTGGTAAAGTGAGAGATTCTACTTTCAGTGCCTTGGCAAAGTTATCATTCCCAGGCATTAGAGGGTAGCTAAGCCACCCTTTCCTCTCCTTTCCGGAATGTCGTACTGAAAGGAGAAGGAAGTCTGTAATGGGAGCCATGGTGTAAGGCAGCCTTCCCCACCCTGCTGCTCTTTGGATGAGGGATGCTGGGAGCTGCAGCCCAACACACCCAGAGGACAGAACACTGGGGAAGGTTGGTGCAATGGGTAGAACATGACAGCTGGGAATACTCCTCCTGACGGTGGCCTTTGCTTTTAAACAGCCGTCTCCGGATGGTTGCCAAAAGCTTGGTTCCCATGAAAGTCCACAGGCCACATCAGGCCACACAGTGCCGTTTAAAGCCAGCTTGCTGAAGCTGGCATCCAAGCCCACCACTCACTTTGGAGATAAATCCTGCATACCTCACTGATGTCAACATGTCCGTACGGTGGTTTGCGGTGGCGGTACATCCAGAAGGCCAGGAGTATGGCAATGGAGAGGGCAATAATTGGAAGCAAAGAATACACCAGAATGTTGAGCAGCGAGGGAGTCTGCGGCGGTGGCTCATAGACCACTGAAAAGAGAAGCAACGTGAAGAGTTAGACAACCGCATGTCCGCCCTGCGATTCACCACTGCATTCTACCTTCAAGGCATGATGGAAAATGAGCTCTCTTTCCGTGCTCCTCAGTATCTGGTAAGTGGAAGCAAAGAGCTTCTGAACGGGGCAGAATTCTGCAGAGGTAACTGGCTGCCTGGACCAGGCAGAAGGACAGTCAGCTTGGCTGACCATTTAATGAATGCATTTTGGAGTTACATTACAGGCAGAAGGCTAATTCCAGTATTCCACTTTTTATACACCTAATTGTACATATATTTGTGTGGCAGATGACAAACCATGGGTGGTAACCAAGCACCAGTTCTTTCTTATTTGCACTTGAGACCTAGAAATCCGAATTGTTTCAAAGCCAGTATGTAGTGTGTGGAAACTCTTGTGGAAGCCAAAGGATGATGCATCCATTTCTTCCTCTAGTTTACTCAATAAAAATCCACACCAAAACCATGAGGACTAGAACCATTTTGAAAGTAAACCTTAAATTCCCAGGATCACTATGGCAGCTTACAGACTTGTAAGGAAACTTGCTGTTTGGCGATCATGCTCCTCTCACCCCACAGTGCCCACAGGCATCTGAATGTCAGCTCGATGAGATATTTTGCTCAATCTGTATAAAACAGACAGTTACTCTTCTCTCACACACAGTCTGTCAGCAGCAATCCACCCCAAACTTTCCAGGGGAACAAGGAACTTATTCCCACTTTTTATGGCCTAGGAAGCTGCCTTGCAATTCAGTTTGCCCAAAAGACTGCAAAACAGCTAAACTACTCTCTGGAAAAACCTAACTTAACAGAACCATCAATTTCATGATCTAAAATGTCACCACTATAATTAAGTTCCATGTTCTCTTGCCTAGCCACCAATTCAAGGTTAGCAAAAACCTACAGAAGCAAACTTTCAACACAATGGTTTTTGTTCTCCACAAACAAAAGCCTCACCTTCTGGGCCTGTAACTTCAGGTAAGTGAGTGAATTTCTCATTGCAGTAGTTCCCTTCGCAACAGCAGAAAAACACTTGTGGACTCTCTTCTGTGGCCACACATTCCTGCCTGTATATTAAGACAGCATTAAAAAAAGGGGGGGAAAAAGTCAGTGAATTCTTGCATTGCCCTCAAAAAAGAAGCTGCTTCAGTATACAAGTGAATTGTCTTTTCCTATTTACTGCCAGCTCCTGTTTTATTTTCCTGATCCAAAGCACCTTTTGTACAAGAGATTTTAGATGCTGAAAACTCCCTGTGTGAGATCTCAAGAGCCCTTTAAGTGTACTGGAAGTTTACAAAAGGGCAAGGTATAGCTCTAATATGCCAGAAAGTATAGCAGCTCAAGCTTCAAGAACACATGCCCACACATTATTTCCCTCTTATATGTTGAAGAAAGGAAGCTGCGTGGCAAGGAACTTTTCCAACACCACATGTGGAGTCACTGTAGAAAGGCATCATGAGCTGCAAGGCCACAGCGAAACTTGTCGCAATGCCAGTTGCACATGCACATATTTCTTCATGCAGGCGAAAAGAGGGATGAGGAGTCCGGAGCCAGTTCCTCCATGATGCCATATTTTCCCGTTTGCGATCCAGAGCCACAGATGTCAGGATCTTTTTCTGCCAGTAACGGCCACATGAGGCTGTGCTGGCAAGAGACACCTACCTCTCAATTTGGGGCAAGTTGCACCAAAGCCACGTGGGAGAAAGGTCAACTGAGTGCCAACACCACTGTTATTCCACATGCACCTCTGTCTGCTTCTACAGCCATGCCGCATCAGACCACCCAGCCCAGCATGCTGTTCACATGGAGGCCAACCTGCAGCAGCGCCCTCTCCCCAAGCTCCCCAGCAACTGGCGTACATGGGGCAAGCTCCTTTCCGAACTGGAGGCAGCATCCAACCACCAGAACTGGCAGCCACAGCCAGCCTTCTCCTCGATGCATTTGCCCAATCCCTTCTTAAACCACCCAAATCGGTGGCCATCACTACATCTTGTGGAAGTGAATGCCATAGTTGAATTATGTGCTGCAGGATTTGTCCTGAACATCACACCAATTAGCCTCATGGGATGTCCCCAAGTTCTAGTATTAGGAGAGAAAAATGTCTCCTCATCCATTTCTTCCACAGCTTGCATAGTTCCGTACAACTCCACCATGACTCCCTTTTCATACTTTTTTCTGTTTATTATTATTTATTATTATTTATTAAAACATTTTTATGCTAAACATTCTAAGCTAAACAATCTCCGCTGTTCCATCCTCTTCTCACAGAGGAATTGCTCCAACCAGTTCAACATTTTAGTTGCCCCTTTCTGTTCTTTTTCTAACACTACAATAGCCTTTAAACTGCAGTTAGCAGAACTGTTCACAACAATCTAAGTGCAGCTGCACTGCAGATTTGGACAGCAGCAGTATGATGTTGGTAGTTTTATTTTCAACTCCTTTCCTAATTTTGTCAAGTAGGAAGTTTGCCTTTTTCTTTTTTTTTTTTTTTTTACAGCAGCCACACACTGGGTCAACAAAACCGCAAGATCTTTTTCCTGGCGTAGATCCCATCAGCTTGTACTCGAAATTGAAGGGTGGGGGGAGTTACCCCAACATGCATTACTTCACACTGCACTGCATTTGCCATTTCAAGGGTCCATTTTCCTAATCTGAAGTGATCGTTTTGGTGCTCCTCACAACTCTTTTCTTTCCAGAACTCTACACAATTAGTTGTCCCCAGTTAACTTGGCAGTATCACTGCTCACTCCTAATCCCAGCTCATTTATGAACAGGTTAAAAAGCACTGGTCCCAACAGACACCCTTGCTGGACCCTCTGTTTCCATCCCCCAGTGGGAGAAATTATCATTTATTCCTATTGCCTGTCTTCTACTCTAATAAGTTAGCTATCCATAATAGGCCCTCCCTCTTATTCTGGAATTTTTAGGAGTCTTAGCTGAGAGACTCTGTCAAAACCTTTTGGAAGTCTAAATCAACAATGTCTGCCAGATCACTCCAGTCCACATTTATTGACACGCTCAAAGTACTCTCAAAAGTTAGCAAGAATGAAATTGCTTCTATGAAAACTGTGTTGATTCTTTCTCAGTAGGGCTTGTTCTTCTATATGCTTTAATACGGATTTCAATCAACCCACCCAGAACAGATGTTAAGTTAACCAGCACAGAATTTCCTGGATCCACCCGACCTCTGATCCCTTTTGAAAAAATGGTGTTACTTTGGCCATTCTCCAGTTCTCTTGTAAAAAAGCTGATCTTAGAACATAGTTTTAAGGAATTCCTTATTTGAATTCTAGGATGGATATCATCCAGATTTACTAACTTTCCATTTGTTCGGTTGAGAACTTCATCTTTTGTCACCACTATTTGCCAAATTTCCTCAAATGTCATCCCTGAAAACTTCACTTCACTTCTGTCCTGTATCCTCTGCAGCAAAGACAGATGAAAAGAATTCTTCCAGCTTCTCCACAATCTACTTATCCTCCATCAATAGTCCTTTAACTCCATTATCATCCCATGGTCCAACTGCCTCTCTAGTTGGTTTCTTGTTTCCAATATCTGTTATTTTATTTTTTATTGTTGGTGATAAAATTGTTAGAAATATGCACCTTAACATGCTTTTTATATCTCTTATTTTCTGCTTGCACATCTTATGTTTTCTCAGTTGGGAAGACAACCATTTTGTGAAGGAGGGCTGCTCTCTAACAGGTTCCCTAGCACCGCTTGTTGACCATGCTGATGACCAACTGGATCCATTGCTATCTTTTCTAACCTGTGTTATGCACAGTATCTGAGTTTCTATTATTGTGGTTTTGAATGTCCTGAAAGCATTTTGAAAGAATTTAAATCTCTGGACTCCTCCTTTTCAACCTTCTTTTTACAGTTCCCTCATTTTAAAGAGGTTTCCTCTTATGAATTATATGTGATTGTGTTGGACCTACCTTGACAATCTTCCGCTTAAATATATATTAAATCTACTAGCACTGTAGTCACCATTCATCATCATCATCATCTTATTTATTTATCTATTTATTTACTTCTATACTGTCACATAGCAGACGCAATCTGGGCAGTTTACAACAATCCATAAAAACAAGGCAATAATATACAATAAAACTATCCTAAAATCAACTACAAAGTTCAACAACATTTACATCTTGTACTAGGTCCTTGGTGACACCATTCAGGATTAAATCCAAGTTCATCTCTGTTCTGGCTGGTCCCACTACCAACTGTTCTAGGGCACAGCCATTTCGGACACTGAGAAATTAACCTGTTTGTCAGATCTATGACATGCGTTCTTTCAGTCAAAGTTTATTAGCTGAAGTCACCCACTATTACAACACTTCCTCACTTTGAAGCCTCCCTGTTTTTGGTTAGTCACCTCAAGATCACCCTGAAAAATTTGGTTTTGGGGACAATAGCGTGTTCCTGGTACTCAGTTAGGTTTGCAGCCAGCTACTGACACCCACAGAGCTTCTGCAGAGAATCCTGAGCTCTGACATACAGAGCAAAACCTCCTCCAGTTTTCCCTTCCCCTTCCTAGAATTTAGAGATGATCATATTGCACTAGTTCTCTCAAATCCACCGTGTTTCTATGCTATAAATGCTATGCCTAAATGAGCTCTCACAAACAGACAGTGCCAAATATCTCCTGAGCTAGCTGACAATGTCCCCCTGGCCTGTCATATCTTTTATTTCCCCCCCTCTAAAATTTAGTTTGTTATTACCAAACTTCCAAGGAGTAAAACCTGCTTATACTATGCTCACTCATGTCATTTTGTAGTTTTTGTTGGCTTCTTGTCGCCCTTCCCATTGTCAGAAGCATTATAAAAGTTTAAATTGCTCATGCACAGTGTCAGTATAGATATGATAAAATACATAAATTAATCAGCTGGTTTTTTACATTAGCAAGTCAAGATGTTGTATGGATTTAAACAATATTTCAATCTGCTTTAGCCTGAGTTTGTACAAGACACTGATACACTGAATTTAAAAGATCATTTGCTATTCCTTGGGGAGAAAAGGAATGTTCTGCTAAATCTACAGCTCCAGTGTCACTCACTGCACATCTGAAACTCACTATGATCCAACTCCAAAGTAATATGTTATGACCCACGCAATGGCTTTTTGCAGTGTTTCCACTGTTTCATATATGGAAAGGGAATGGCACACAATCTGAGGACCATCTTGTGAACAAAATCAAACATCAGTCCAGGATTCCTTGTTCTGCAAAGAATGCTGCATAGCCTATTCTACAATAAACCTATTCTACAGTAATCTTTCTCTGTATGTGAGCTCTCAGGAGTAGAACTTGGATGTCAAATCAAGTTTCAGGCTTAAAGCAGTGTGGGTACTCTGGCCCCAGTTTCGAACAACTATCAGGGCACAAATCTAGTCCAAGACAACAGTACACATTGCAGACTATGAAGCTCATGCTGTATCCCCTTGTGTGTACATCGCAGAGGAACCTGTACAGGAAGCGAAATTGGATATTATGCTTCTAGACACAGCCTTTATCGCTCCATTACTCAGCCACACTCACAGAATTTTAGAGGAGTTAGACAGTATCTTCCACTTATTCCCCACCCCACAAGCTTCTCCCATCCATTGAAGAACAGCTCTAGAGAAATAGAGGGAACAGCTGTGCAGTGCCTTCTACTGATAACACCAGAATTCTCTGTCTGGAAGCACCCAAGTTCCAGGTTAGTTTAATTCAGGGATGGGAAGGTCTGCTTTGCTTTTTTACTAGAGCACTGAGAACCACCAATGAGAGCCTGGTACAAAAGACCCAGAAATAAATAATTCTGAGCCTAAGAATGTGTTTGCAATATCAGAACTGAACCAAACTCAAATCTGTCGTGCCTAGCTATAGCCTTCCCTAGATTTCTTCATCTCAGTGATACAATTCTTCTCCATGGTGACCCCAATGGCTCTGAAATGCCCTCTCTACAGAGATTAGTCTTTTATCATCAGCTGAAAGATTCTTTTGCTCTTCTAATGTTTAATTTTAAGGCTGCTGGGTTTTTATATTGATTTTCCTGCGTTTAATTTAATTATCGTAGTGTTT